TCTCTTCAATCAAATTGTTTCCTATTCATTCTTACAACTCGATTCACTAAAAGCTCAAACCTCCACTACAGGTTAGTATTACTCTCATCCATTCATGTTAATCTTTCTCATCATTGTTTCATCAATTCTTTAGGTTTGCTCTTTTATTCTTCGTCGGTCATATCAGTCGTGTAGTGATCTGATATCACCTACTCTATCAAAGGTGTGTATAAGGAAATTCAATCAAATTGTTTCCTATTCATTCTTACAACTCGATTCACTAAAAGCTCCAACCTCCACTACAGGTTTGCTCTTTTATTCTTCGTCGGTCATATCAGTCGTGTAGTGATCTGATATCACCTACTCTATCAAAGGTTTGCTCTTTTATTCTTCGTCGGTCATATCAGTCGTGTAGTGATCTGATATCACCTACTCTATCAAAGCTCGTTGTTCAATAGGTTATGAGCCCAGCTAGCGCTTAATCTGGTTACCTCGAACAACTTTCTTTCGATATGTCGACTAAACAAATCAGTCAACTTCCGACACTTTCTCCTTCAACCTTTCAAGATTGGAAGAACATTGTCTTCTCTTTTTGTCTAGAAAAGAACGTCGATGATCATCTTCTTACCGATCTCGTTGCCGGAGAAAAGGATGCCGTTGCAAAGGTCTCGCTGTTGGAAAAGAAGTCAATCGCCGCTGGTATTCTTGGACGTAATCTTGGTCGTGAATACTACGCTAAGTTTGTAACGATCAAGAATCGTAAGGAACCTCATACACTTTGGAAGAACATCTGTGAACATTTTGAATCTGATTCCGCCGAAAATCAAGTAAAAGTTTATCAGGATTTTCTCAAAGTTGGTTATACGGATGAAGGTGGCTTAAATCAACTTATTATTGACTTGGATATCAGCATTTCAAATCTCCGATCTGTTGGTATTGTTATTCAAAAATTTGAAAAAGCAACACTCGATGAAGGTCTTTTGTCCAAATATTTGGTCAATCTTCTTCCTTCTAAAATGGAAACGACGAAAGAAATCATTTTCACTAAGCGTCCTCTTTCTCTCGACACG